CAGATGGACTCTGTTTAGTTAAATGTGCAATAAAATAAATATTTTATCCCTAAAAATATAGAATAATGATATTAAACATCAAAATAACTGATTATTATCTTGGCCATACGTGCGCAGCCATAATTTCACCCATTATTTTGTCAGTTCTGTTCTGTGCTTGGTCTTGTTGATAGAACCGATACCAAAGTGGATTTCATGGCTCCACTCGCTGCACAGCCGTGAAGAATAAAGCCCTCTGAGATGAGAGCGGCTGAAGCTGAAGAGGTTTTGCCGGAGAGATTTAGCGAGGAGAGGCTCTCCGAGTGCGCTGGAGTTAATCTGACTCCCGCTGTGGTTCACCGGGTTCGACACTGGATCATGCAGATCTTCATTCACTGGGTCAGGTGGTCAGAGCTGCTGCGAGGGCGGGCGAGAGACGCCGAGAGAGAGAGAGAGAGGGACGTTATGTCACACAACAGGCAGCGTTTGGATTATAGAGCTGCAAAAATTAGTCAATGAACTGACTGAATATTAAGCTGCATCTATTTCGATGAGTTTTTATTTTTATATTTTTTTTATGTAAGGTGAGGATTTAATGCTTCTTTGTGTCATACGTGAAACAAACTGTTTTTGGTTGCTCAATCAAAACAAGATGTTTTCTGACATTTAATAGACAAATTGAATATAAAAGACTATTATTGAGTCTCAACACTGAAGCTTAGTGACTTTTGCTTTTGAAACAGTTCTTGATTTTACAGAAATAATAAGTTTAATTGCAAATAAAGTGAGCAGAAGCATGTTTTTATTGTCAGCGTGGCTGATTTAAACATCCAGATCCAACCTGCTTCTTCCTGTAGCTCCTGGTTAAATGTTCAAATTCAGGCTGATCCAGCAGCAAATTTAACCTCCAGACTGAAGAGAGAAGAAGTGTTTTCAGTGACAAACAGCTTCTCTGCATCTTGTTTGTTGCGTGTGGGTTAAAGCTTGCGTGTGGTAACAGGGTGTTGTGTGTTTGTTGTGTTAATGTGGCTGCACACTTACATAACTTCCCTCGGCTAAATTTAGCGGCTCGGAGCCGAGCTGTCACTCTGTTACAAACTGCCGGGAGTATAAATACACTCAGTCAGTGTGTTTTCAGGTTCAGTCTGAGCTGCTGTCTGAAATTTGAGATGTTACAGTTAAACTCCTGCTGAACTTGACCCTTCTGTGCACTGAAGTGTTCAGGGCTGTTTCCTCCAGAGTTTACAGGTTTAATCCTCTAAACCCCCGAACCATAGTTTGGAAGGCATATTTTAAAAATCGCCAACATTAGACAA